TTTCCGATCGAGTAAGCGCTTTACGGACGGGAATATTTCGAAGGCGTTGATTCTTTAAAGATAGTTTATAAATATCACAAATTTCGTAGCACTTTTACTACTTCATACTGGTATAACCGTTGCGTGATATGCTTTAATACTTCTCGAGCAATATGTCTTTAATACCATCAAAATTTGTTCAGTGCCTTTTCAGTACTATTTATTATGGAAAAATAGTGTATGAATAGGCTACGGATGTTTATGCATTTCTAATGTCCTCTGACTTGCAAAACATAGCAATATATAGATGCTACTAAAATTTACAATAATGTCTCGATGAGTGCGATGTACTCGGATCCACTTCGGAGCACTTGTGGCAAGGCGCAAAGGTTTTCAGCCCTCATAAATTTATTTTTTGCTCGAAGCCGAGCTTCTGTTCACTCTATTTCGATTGGTTCCACAGGAAGACTTCCCCAATGGTGGGAATAACGCCGTTGCTCGTGTCGCATTCATCGAGGGATCACTGTAATAGTATTCACGTATTATTCCTAACACATTGAAACACCTAATACAGAAAACAAAATTCTGTTCAGTTTCGTTTTTTACATATCACTGCTTGAAATCGTAAATTTTCATAAAACATCTGCAGTCATAAACATCTCCAACAACTAACGCGACTATTATCCAGCAAAATGGCGGGACCATACATTGATTTTAAATCGCACTACCGTCTTATTAGAAAAACAGTCAGCCAATCACCGGTACGGCTAATAGTTTTTTAATAACTCCCTTCGGTTCAATCCGTGTCTAGCCCATCAATCTTCGTGGCTTTGTAATTTTCGTGTCGGGTACGCGTCGGAAACGAAACCGGCTTTACCGAAACGGAAGAAAACGGATCTCCGCGGTGCACGCGACTAGGAGAGGGGGGAGGGGGAGTGTTTTTGTCGAAAATTGCGGCGTATTCTCACGCGAGGCGGAAAGATGATTCGATCTGCGCGGTTACCTCTCGCGGAGGAAGCTTCAACGGCAGCCAGAATCCTCTGATTTGCGACTTCGGAACGGCGCGAGGCAGACAATAGCCGCGAGGATTATCTCCGCGCGTGAATTCGGTTTGCATAATGGAAGAACCGGGGCCCTGCATATGGAAATTCGATCTCCAAACGACAGTTTGCGTGTTTTAATATTTGATCAGTTTCTTGGTAAGATAAGGAGCGACCCTTGTTCGAATCTGACGTACCTGATGTAATCAGATTTCGATTTGCTGAATTAATGATAGAAGTATGAGGATTCGCAAAAAATTTGGTATAGGTAATGAAATGATTACTTTCCTGGTATGTACCTATAAAACTTCATAGACCGTATTAACTCTTTGAGGCACGCGATTTTAAAGAAAATAATATAAAATTTTTTTTAATATAAAAAAAATTATATAAGAATAAAATATTAAACTATATGACTGTGAGTAATTTCAACTTTTCGAGGTGGGTTAAAATATATCCCACCATGCATAAAAAGCTAAGCAAAAGGTGGGACAGTTTTTAACCCACCTAACCCTAAAGAGTTAAAAGAAAAAATTCGGGTGTTCATGAATGAAACAAGGTACCTATAGTAAAATGAAACAGATTTCGATTCGTAACTTGTGGATCTCGCATCTTCGCAGCTCCTAAATTGTATAGGTTTTTTTTACCACTCAAGCGATGCTCGCTTTAGAACTAAACAAATTTGTTTATTGTGATATTTTCTACATGTTTGAAGTTTTTGGGAACGTTTTCCTAAAATTTTACGTTGCAATTTATTATATTTAAAGGTCTGAAATATTGTCCTTTTTTTAGGATGTTGAAGCCGATGCAATCATAAGACATGAACGAAATATTGAATTCTGTCGTTAATATTTCGATGTCGATTTCAATGAAAGTTTCAGTATGTACATAACTAACATAAATCTTCGATATGTATTTATTAAATTTTCATTATAGCCTCAGATTAAAAAGTTGTAAAATACGACCTTTAATATTTTCTTCGCGATTCGGACCAATGGCAACTTTTTCAAAATTTTTTTTCACATCATTTAGTAAATTAATGTCTCTAACTTCACAAAAAAACAAGTCATTTGGACCAATTTTAAAAGAGTAGTTCTGTTTTAAACGGTGTACAAATACTTTTTACACTCACTGTATATGCGATCGTTTCGACGATCCAGTATGAAACGCATCGATCGAGAAGTAGAAATTCACAATTTGAGAAATCTTTGATTAAAAAACGCGTGTAACAGCTAAGTAGATTCTTAACTGATTGAAAGTTTTCGTAAAAAGGAAAACATTAATGATGGATTCGAACAAAGATATGAGAATAGTTAATAGTCTCTGAAAAATCTGCACTGTAAATTGTTTACAAATAAAAGAGTTTAGATTAAGCTTGTAACCAAATTAGATTTTAACTTAATTTCTTTCCCAAAATGGAGTCACACGATTTTTCTAATAAACAGCTCATACAATCTAGACCCCACAGTCAGAGTGTATTAAGTCCACGTTTTGAAAAATGACAGTTTACATGTTTCCTGTATTAAATACTTTACTCTTTCCGATGGTAAACATTATTTCGTTCTAAGTCGTTTAGTTTTGAATATAGGTACGTAATAGTCTAAAAATTATATTAAGTTGATATTTTTAGAACAGTGTAAAGTCTATCACATAGAGGAATTAATGCAAAGTTCACCATTTCTACATAGATTCCACCCGGTTATCGTCTGGCTTGTTCTAGATGATTATTGTCCAGTACAGTAATTATTGTCAGACGTTATCTCCACCACTGGGGAAGTGGGGACGTGGAACCTTTCAAGCAAATACTTTGTTGCCCCTCCGCTTGTTGCCGAGGCTTGGGCCTTGGGTAGAAAACGAATTTATGAGGGTCTGAAGCATTTCAACCTATAAGATTATTGTCCAGGCGCGGACCCGAGTTCGGGACGATAATCGAGAGGAGTCTGTAGAGACTTAAATCCATTCAATGGTTCGAAGGTAGGTATCGATTGTTTCTCGTTTAATTCTTACCAAACGGTTCCAAAGTTATAATGTTTTTACACATTTGTTTGCTTTTCTCTAACGTTTGAATAGTGTGACTTAATACACTCTGTCTCTGGGATCCAGATATTAATTTTCTAACATTACGTTGTAATACTTTTATACGTAGAAGAATTTAAAGATTCGATCTACGTCAAAAAGCATCGTAACTCAATTAAAGAAAATAGTGCACTTGCATTTTTATGTGCACTGTTACGTATACAAAGGAAATGAAAACGTGAGAAGATAGAGGATCTTGTATTATAACATTTTTTAAATATTTGAATAAATAAGGAATATAATCCGTCCTAAATGTATTTATCTCGTATATGTACCGAGGGTATTAGTGTATTTAAAGATGAAAGAGAAATATTGTCTGCCTCAAACAGAAAATACAATTTTTATACTATTATTGGTAGTTTTTGTTTGGTGGTTTATGAAATATACGGATAGTTACTTTCGCGTGAATAACGAATAAATATGACGTAATGTATACTAAGCTTGTATGTGTGTGTGTGTGTGTGCATGTGTACGCTGAAAAGGAAAATTTTCAGAGTCAATTGCTTTTTTATATAATGTTAAATTTTCACTTTATAGTCAGTGAAATAAAGATTCTGTACCTACTTACGAATAAATAAAAGTTACGTTTTAGATGTCATGAAATTTTATTGGATATTTTAGATAAAAGATTCGGTTCTAATTTTTATATTTTACCTGAAAATAGACAGCATAGAATATTACATAACAATATTTATAATTGAACAAATCGTACTGGTTAAATACTGAAATTTTTGAATCGACTTGAAGTGTCATGGTAAAAAATACAGTTAACATAAATAGAATATTGGCAAAGAAGTTACACTTTGCAAATAAATTTTATTTATAAAAGTCAGCAGTGTCACTCAATCCCTGGTAAATAATAATCTAGTATGTTTACTTAAAAATGTTTACTTACCGTCTTCCTGACACACTTTTATTTCGAATAGAATACACTATTAAACTGCTCAAAAGAAAAATCAAAGGCGACCTTTTTACGAGAAATGAGACAACAAAGAAAAGACATGCATCAGACTTAATTCATAACATTTATTCGATTGAGCAACATTTTACTCTATAATTATTTGTCGCGTTTATAGCACATATAAACGTTTGAAGTATCGTAATAAACAGTAAAAAAACATCCACTTTATATTTAATTAAAATAAACTTCCTATAAAAAAAATACCTTTTGTTCGATTTTTTTTTTCCTAAATTGACTTATCCAGAGTTTAACTTGAACAAAACACTCGCAGCCTAATTATCCTTTACTAATTACTTCCTTCTCCATTTATCCCCCCGGTACGCTTAACAAATTAACCCTGCTACGGTCCATATACTTTAGCCGTACATTTAAAATTGTCAGATCACCAACAATTTTTTCAATTCCTTCCCAAACACATAAACATTTCTGAAGGTCCACAAAAATGCAATTAGATGAAAAAAAAACTAGAAGAGTCCGTAGCGGTCTTACAGAAATGAGATACGGTGACTAGATCTAACGAGATCCAAAAACCCGTAGCAGGCTCAAAAAATATCGAACGAAAATCATAGAATTTCTCCTAAAAAGTGAAGAAACAGCTTTATATTTATATAATTCAAGGTAACAGGGGGTTCGAATAAAAACGACACACGCATACTGACGATCAAAGCGAATGACATTTATTATAAGCTCGAGGTGGAACGGCGCAGCAGTTCGGTTAATAGACGATGTCGAGTCGCGATCGGGTATGGGCGAAGCTGCATGTTACGAAAATAAAATAAAAATACAAAAAAAAATATGGAAACGGAGAGATGGTATTAGCTGTAGGACGGCGTACTCGAATCGAAGGAGAGATGGCTGGCTAACAGTTCCTATCCCGTTTTGTTCTCCTACAGACAGCAAACTATGACGCGTATATACGTCGAACGAGTAACTTTGTTGTGTGTCGGTATACAACGGAGCCACGGGGGGAGGGGGCGAATTTTCGATACAGCGAGTTTTTTAATCTTCGATGTACTCGAACGGCTCTGGAGGATCCGCTTCCTTCTCCTCGTCTGGTTTCGGGCCGAAAGCTGAAACATAACCACGATAATGACAACCGCCGTGCTGGGAACTCTTCCGACGATACGGACGGGACTTATTGACTCTGACGATGACGAATACAGTGGCGAAATTCCAGAAATAACGGAGGACGAGAAAATATTACGTTTTGATGTCGACAAACAAAGCTGTAGACTCTATAGTGTAGAGCAGATATTGACAACCCCTGGCCTGCGACTTCTTTTAGTCCTGATTAATTATTTAATTTATTTAGTATCGTCTTATCCCGAAGTTGGGCCACGAACGAAAAGAGAGCTAGACCGACGAAAGGGGCTAATTTCCTAATGGGGACAAACTAATACACCAGAGAAAAATCTATTTAATTTGGCTCTTGACTCGGAGAGAAAATTATAATTTGGCCCCAGAACCAGAAGAGGTTGCCTATGCCTGCTGCAGTAGAATTTATCATTGGGTGAAAAGCCGCGACGGAATCGGATAGAATAATGGTTACAGGAAAATAAATCGATATAATGAGGAATAAAATTTCAGGATCAGAGAAATCGGAAAATTTCATGCATCCGTTACTTTTGACACGTTCACGGCCCAAAATCTCGTATTTGCGTATTGTTCATCGCGTCGAAACCAAATTATGCAATGCTACAATGTTTTATTGCTCAAAAGAATCAGAGGATCATGTATTACGACCATTGTGTCTGTCAATACCACTATGATTCCGAGACATTTCTTGTGTGGAATAGAAACCAGGTGTTGGTATTGCACGCGAAAGATGTGAATTTATTAGACCTATGAGTAGACTGCAGATTTTATGCATTTATCGAATATACGATCCTCTAAAAACTCAGTACAGTTAAATTTTTAATATAGCCCACCGAAATTTAAATTTTCTATTGAATCTTATGGCAGTCTTAATGTGGTTATTATATTTCTATTCGAGTCCAATCTTTATTGAATAGTCCACAAAAATCGATATTTGCATAAACATCCGCGGTCTACTTATGAGTATTTGTTTCGTTTGCTAGGATTAGATGGAGCAATAGCAGCGCATAATGTAGCGACCCTCTAATTTGAGCAGTGTATATAAAATGATCAGTTGTAAATCGTTTATACAATTATTGTGCGCCAAGCATTATTGGTTTATATTGCAATATGTTACTTGTACTAAAAAATTTCACAAATATTATCGTTCATTCGATGTAAATGCTTCAACCAATGTTGAAATCGCCGTTCACTGATGCCTTTAAGGGTAATAAACGTGTCAAATGGAATAACTGAGTCAGAACATCGGAACAATTGCTATGTGTACAAATGGATAATCCAAATGTTTCTTTTCAACAATTAACTAATTGACACTTGTGTAACCTTAAAAAATATTCAATTTGGTGGAGAAGGCCCAATGTAACCTTCAAAAATATTCAGGTCGTTAGAGTAAAAAATGACGAAAATTTGGATTATTAATTTGTAGACTTAATAATTCGTATATTCTAATCAAATAAAAATATTCATACACGTGAGAACGTAACTGTTATGAAGGAACGATTTAAATATTGGGTGTCGAATGACCCCGGTATGTGTCAAGTTAGGGTAGCATTTTTGACCACTTACCAGCCACTGGCTCCACAAGCTCCTCTTCCGTGTCCGTTTGTACATGCTTCAACATAACGATGCCGCCAATTTGGAGATCCTTGACGGGAACGTAATGGCTGCCCTCCACTAGTTGAATCACCTTCAGCTGTTGCCGTAGGATGCGAGCTGGATTCTGGAGGATCTCGAAGGTCGGCTCCGGTTCCTTCTTCTCCTTCTCACCTTTCTCACTCTTCTCACCCTTCTCGCCTTTCTCACTCTTCTCACCTTTCTCGCTTTTCTCGCCTTTCTCGCTTTTCTCGCCTTTCTCGACCTCGTCCTTGCCCTTCTTCTCGACTTTCTCCTTCGTCTCCTTCACCTCCTTCGGCTCCTTTTCCTCTTTCTCTTTCTTCTTCTCCTCCTTCTCCTTGGGCAACGCCTCCTTCACTTCCACGGTCTCCTTCGTCTCCGGTGGATCCTGTGATTATACGTAGCGATCATTCATTTTATAGCGGATAAAAAAAAGTTTTGGTATATAAGCATTTTTAATGTTACAGCGATAAATAATAATGATAGTGTAAAAATAATTTTACTGATATTCTGATTACGTTAGAAATATGATCACTGTCTTGTTCCACCTTGAATGCAGTAGGCTTTCAAGCAATGTATTTACTACTACTGTATGCTGTTCATATTTAATTATAAAAGAACCTGGTATGATAATACAATTAATCATTGTAAAACAATTTGTAATTATTTTGAACTTGCATAACATCATTCGTTTTTAATTCTTTGTATGTTCTTATGTAATATACGTCTATTGTATAACGTTATACATATTATGAAAATACGAATAAATGAATACAATTTTAGTTATATGTTTTAATCTCACAATTGAACTGCGGATTCTATGCAGTTTAATCAGATGCAACTGAAATAGAAACTTTAATCAAAATTTAACTCATTGTTGGGTTCTATTCTCTACTTTACACAGCCAAGTAATTCATCGAGGTAATGGGTTTCTATTTAATTCTTGCTTTCTTAAACCCGTCCACAAAAACGTGACTTTACACAAACATTTACGATTCACTCAATCGCACATGTTAAACTCAGAAAATACACAGTTTCTTTTTAAAAAAGTACTATTACTTCTGAAAATAGTAAAAAAGCTTGTTCGATCCATGCATACTAGATTAAAGTTTTTTGTATCTTATTAGAATAGCTTCCGAAGCATTAATTTATTATGAACAACATCTTACATATAGACAACTATAAATTATAACTGTTAATTTGTACTTCAATATTAATTAAACGTGTAGAATACGTCAAATGTAAGGGGTGGGTGCATACTTTTAAGACTACTTGTGCACAGAATAAAATGACTTACGGGTTTACTTCATTAAAATCTCTCATTCACTTCTAATCCAGTGATAATATCTTTAGACTCGACGGATTAATCCCCCTTTTCAACCATTCCATATTAAAGTACTCTCTATTAGCTACCAGGTGACATTAAAATCAGAAAATCAACGAAACTAAACATATTCAAATTATTTCCCTGTTTCACTTGGACTTGTTATATATTCCCCTTTACTCCTACTTTTGAAACCATCATACCTTTGGACCTAACAGATTGCTGCCCTGTTCAACTACATCACATTAAAGTACTCCCTACTAGCTACCAGGTTACATTCAAATCAGAAAACCAACGACACTAGACTTATCAAATTATTTCCCTGTTTCATTTGATCCTGCCATATTATTTCCCTTTACTCCTACTTTTGAAACCATCATACCTTTGGACCCCTTAAAGTGCTCCCCATTAGCTACTCGATGTTTCCCCCTATAGTCTTCAGATTAAAGAAAAATATGTTACTAACCACTTCCATCTTCTCATGAGAGTCACGAGCTCGTCTCTCGGACTCGCGTCTTCTCGCCCTTGCAGCGATGCTGAGTACTGCGGTTGTCACTTTCTCCCTTTCCTCGCGTTTCTTCTCCTCCAACGGGGCTGGATAAGCGTAAACGCTCGGCCGGGCGTTCGAACGGATCTCGAGCTTCGGCATTTTCAGCTGGGCGTTCAAAGCAATTAGACAGGTCGGCGTGAAGGCGAGGGCCAAACAATGGGCCAATGGGAACCAGTACCAATATTGGGTGAACACCAGGGCACCGACCACCGCCAGCATGTTCGTGTGGCCTGTCCTCGACTGAAGTGATACCGTCACGTTACGCCCGCCTGGAACAATCGTCGTCGTTGTTGCACAGAAATGGAACGTAATGGCGAAATTTCAACGATACGCGATGTCACTCATGAGCACGTTTGTTTCCCCCTTTGTTGAAAAATATATGTAACGTTTCTTTTAAAGGAACTGATCTCCATTTACAATGAAGGTTATAGAACATGTAAAATTTGTGGTAATTCGTGGAGAATTCTTAACACTAGAACTACCAAATCAGTCAAAATTACTAGTTCGTAACTAACAAAAATCATTAAAATGTCAGAACAGTGTATTTGCTCAGATTCTTTGTAACATTTATTTCTACACATAAGTGAAGACGTTTGTTAATTTATGGATTTGTATATTTGAAAGTAGTTGTTCCTTTTACCAACATAATAGAAATAGAAACACGTTTGTCTTCGGTAGTTCTAGTGTTGAAGTAAAAGTTGCGAAAATGTAAACTTTTTTCGTGCTTCGTTTTGAGGGCAAATACTTTTAAGTAGACCATACTTATGGTCTATACGCGATTGTCCGAAAGTCATTACAGCTGATTGTTTAACCGGCTAACTGCATTCTGTCTACTACAGTAAACGCGTACTTTGTCACATCAGTGACAATATATTTCTTACTGTGACTACTATTGCGTTATTTATCGCGAGCAACCACATTGCTTACAAAACAAAAAAATGTTTTAAATAATCATAAAATGACTATTGATTCTTGATTTTATAAAAACAATATTTGTAGAACAAGATATCAAAAAGATGCAGTGAGCGGGTTAATAAAGTTTAATGAGTTCTGTGTTTTTGTTTCAAGCGCCATTGAGACATTATTTCTATTTAATTCTAGCTCCTCTAAATTAATCTATAACGATCTGTATCTGTTTGAATATCTGCAGATCACTGATTAACGGTAACATATACTTCATTTCTTTCCTACAATTCACTATTTACTTTACGTTGTCACTGTTTATGGATAAAGCAGTTTCTTGATTCTCTGTTAGCTAGAATTAAAATCCACGAGAAAGCACCCCAATAAACACGAGGGAGCGCCTACTCCCCCAGCTTCCGGTCCCAGCCCTTCCCCGACCCTAAAAGAAAGACCGCCACGTATCACGATAGCGATAAACGGCCGGGAAATAGCTTCAATCCCCCCCCCCCTTCCAGCCACGACGTAACAACAGGCTTTGAGGAATAATGTCACTGAACCGTTTGACCATCAGTATTGTATACCCGCCGACGCGACGTCAGGTCAAGGTCGTACGACGAACGCTATCAGGGCTGATTACCAATTAAGTGATACCAACTTCAGATACACTTCTCTTCGATTTGAGTACATACATATACAGGGTGAACCACGAATCGTGATCAGTAGAGATTACTCTGTTATTAGCAGTCCGATCGAAAATGTTTTTATCAGATACAGCATGGTTTCAAGAGAGCTTCAACGTGATAATAACAAATTTTTTGTCAACTCTTTTTTTTCATCATTTTTCAAGGTCACCTTCAATTTTTTACAATTACACCTATAACTTTTTTACGCCTAACATATGTTATGTTATGATACATACCGAATTCATCTTAAAATCCTCTAACAGATAGGCGTAAAAAAATTATAGGTGTATTAGCAAAAAATTGAAGGTGACTTTGAAAAATCATGAAAAAAAATAGTTGACAAAAAATTTGCTATAATCACGTTAAAGCTCTCTTGAAATCACGCTATAACTATAACTGATAAAAAAATTTTCGATCGGACTGCTATTAACAGAGTAATTTCTACTGATCACGATTCGTGGTTCACCCTGTATATGAGAAATATTAGTCCGAGGCCTTTGATTTTTAAAAGAACTACGCTCTTATGAGGTTCAGGGGTAGGAGCCGTGCTGTCAATCACAGTCCTCTTACCAAAAGGCATCGCTGCCTTCCCCACTCCGTGGTCAGATCCTCTAGGAATAACGTCCTTATTCGTAAGGCAACGCAACGTCGAGCTGCTTGCCATCTTCAAACTTTCACTCATCTATTTCACATAAACAACTCTCTACGTCACCGATAGCCGAAGGATCCAACATGTTCTTCCGCCACCATGCGACGCTATGGTCTGTTTCTCTAAAGAAGAGTGGGGATCCAATGCGAGCTGCGTATTTCGTGCGACGTTGTCACGGTCTCAATGCCACTGTGTGTCTCTTTCCATCCTCCGGCACTTCGGCACGAGAGCCTCTCGCTCACACGCTCGGTAAACCAACTTCCTTCTTTACCCTACGATTTCCACGTGTAGCAATTAATAACCTAGGTATTAATTTAATCCCCTTTTAATATGTTGCTCAATATTTGGGTACAATACATTATTTCAAAAGAAATAAACTTTTTCTTATTTATGTATTTTAAATCTTGACGTGTGAAAACGTTCAGCGTCTCGTCAACGTTCTCCGCCATTTCCAGACAATGGATAATTGACGGGCGCGTGCCGAACGCAGTCCCCACTAGTGATGGGTAGTCGAGCCGAGCAGCTCGAGCTGTATCGGAAGCTTTCGAGTCACCGGTTCGGCTCGGCTGGTCAAGCAGGCCGAAATGACAGTTTTATGAGGTAACAGCGGAGATACGAGGTTCTGGCACGCGAAACCTCGGCGCGTAGTTATCTTATAATAACATCTCGCCGAGGCCCGTCGCCAGCGTTTCTTAGGGTAGAACGATGATGTCAACCGGTATCGATACGGCTCCAGCAGAGCCGTATCGATTACCCATCACTAGTCCCCACTACTTGAGATTGCAGGTAGGTCCTTCTAGAGAGGTTTGTAATACGCGCGATAGAGGCAGACGACCATAGGCGAGGACTCACGTCGACGGTCGCACGTCATTGGCCAAGACGCGAAGAGTGAGAGAGACACAAGTGCCGTAGATGTCTCGCGATCGCGGCAACATCGCGAAAAGTCGAGCCTACCTCCCAGGGCTCTTCTTTAGAAAAACAGACTATAGGTCTGTTTAGTCTCATGCACTATCTTCCAACACCGCACACAATTCGAAACTCTATCATAAATTTTCCAACGGTCAATGAGCGACAGGCCGTCGAAGTTCACTTACTTCCACTCGTCAGAAATTGTTGAAATTAGTCTTGAAATGTTCAGGAACATTTCCATTTCGATTAGTAAATTAAAAACCGAAAATCGATTCTTATCACCCTATCCCATTAACGATGTACTCGGAAAGCAACTCACCGGCGTCTATGATTCCTTGGGCGAGAATGGCGCCGAACTTGGCCATCACGTCCTCGTGCTTGTCCACGACCACCTTGGCGTACAGCGCTCGGAAGTCCTTGACGCGCGCACAGGTGGCCTCGGTCTGCTGGATTAGGATCATCGCGGAGGCGATCAACGCTCCTTGCCGAACGAAGTTCACCGGATCGTTGGTCATCGGGTCCAGCAACGCTATCGCCTCCTTCAGGCCTGTACCGGCGCACGCGATACCCAGAGCCATCGCTGCTCCGTATCTCACGTGAGGATTGTAACTTTCGGCCAACAGCGACACCACGCTGGGACATTGTTCTGGGGTTCTGTAACAGAAACGTGACCGTCTTGGTAAATATATGCGTGCCTTTGGATAGATTATGACGGGGTGAGACTATACTGCTGGGTTGTACATGACAGGGGCAGTTGATATTGCATCCTCCAACACTTGTAGCAGAGCAAGAGAATATGTTGAAATATACGATGGATTCACTGCGTGTGGGTAGGTGGGAGGTACTTGGACGATTGGGAGACGCATTAACTGCGTCAGTTTTTTATTCTAACACCTATAGGAAGTTAGGAAAAAGAAGAACTGACTGAGCGTTCTTCGGATCATCGACTAGTCAGCCATTGGCTTAATGATTGGTAGCCTATGATTAGACCTTTTGGGGATTGTTAAGTTATCTACACATCAGGATTAAAGTAGAAATCGTTACATTGTATTATTAGGACTGTTGCTATGTTTCCATGATTGTAGTTTACCCTTTAAGTAGGTCATTGGCTGTTGACCGTTGAGTGTAAGAAACTTATCAAGCAGTTACTTTTCCTACTCTTCTTAATGAGTCTAGGTGTTTTTCCTCTCTATTTAATTCTTACCGAGCTAGTGTTTGACACAGTCGGTGGACGAGATATAGCGAAATTGTAAAATCAGACCCCCTAAAAGCGGTAGCATTCGTGAGAAGAGACCTAACCAGGCATTTAGTTGCGTCTGGATATTCGTCAGGTCCCTAAACGGTATTCCAATTTGGCTTTCAGCATAATAAACTAAAAAGCATACAATGAAGCAGTCATCTTCGTTCAGGTTCTATGAATTATAAGAACAATCTACGGTTCAAATATCTAAGTCGGTCAATATTTCGTTTTTATGTTACTCTGTGGCACCACGAATGTATACTAAAAAACAGAATAATTTGAATATTGCACTGTCTACAATAAAGACCGTAGAAACACTGAGTTATAAATCCACTAAATTCTTGGTAGTCCAACGATGTCGACATAATCCATGGGAGCAATAATCCAAACCGTAATGAACTACACATTCAGACTGTGTCACTATTAAAACAGCTTGAATAGCATATCCCTTGGACTCATTCCAACGGATACTCTACCAGTTTCAAAATTCCACGAAATCCCAGACACCTCTACGTATCCAGAATCTAAGTCTCAATTACCGTGAACCGCGACATTAATTAAGTTCAATCTTTCCACCCCCATTCACCACCCCTCAACCACGTGAACCGCGGTTTCTATGAACCTCTGTGAGCTGCAAACGGTACCCCACCAAAAAAAGGCACTGAGAGGAAACAAAACAAAAATCCCTGGCGAATAAAGCCATCGGCAACTTAACCGTCGGAAGGTGGACGCTTTTTAATATCCGTACAACATCGGTATCTAGGTCCGTTTGGACCCCCATGCATCCTACTTTCTAAACATATTTTTTTCAAGAACACTTACGTTCTTTACATGGTTCGATACGAATAAATTCTAGCTTAAACTCCATTTCTATGTCGATGTTGATACGGAGCTGTAAAAATTTGGGTCAATTTGATCCAGGCATTGTCCTGCCAGGGTTAATCCCTGTAGATGAAAGGAACCGCGGGGAATTTGTTGGTGAACGTCGAAGATCGACTCGTGATCGTGACCGGCTAAGTGCATAATCCTATTTTCCCGTTGTTGCAGGAGGACGACTCGGTGTTGGTGGACGGCGCATGCCAGATACCGGACCCGCTCTACAAGCTGATCGGCAGCATAATCTGCTTTTACATACCGTTGGGAGTGATGCTGCTTACGTACGCGCTCACGGTACGACTGCTCGCGGAACAGAGGCAGAATATCGGGGGAACGACAGGTTGGTCCTCCGGATGGCTAGGTGTCCCCCAGGGACCAACCCCGGGAGGTTAGTGTATTATCAGGTACACCGACCTGTTACACTTCTGATCGAACCGTTCACGTATTGTCTACCAAAGAGGGGATGATTCGAATAAAAGGGTCGAAGAATCTTCCTAGTCGTTATCAGAACTAAGGTGTTCAACCTTCGTGCACTGTTCTCGTCTATGTTTGATCCAGGAGCTAACTTTTTAGCTCCTGATCAGATTTTCTATTACGGAGACGTGTTTGTCGATTAACCCTGGAACGATACTGTCACATTTTTCGAACGTCTGTGATACCTGCGGACGACCGAAAATGAAATCGAAATATTTTCAATATTATTGAATATATTTCTGAGAAATTTATCGTCTCTTCTTCTTTGGATATCTTAAGATAGGGTAACTGCAGTATTGTTTGCCATTTAAATAAAGGAAATCAGAGTGTAAATGTTATTTTGAAATGTGTGCTAAAAGGGTCTTCGTTCGATATGCTTTCTTTATTGGAGCTGTGTTTTATTTTCAAAGTGGTGTAAGTCCAGTTTTCTTGATTTTGAGATACAGTAGCAGACAAAACAGTTACAACTTCTTCGATTTCTTTTAATTTTATTACTTTTTGACGTCAACTGAAAAACTAATGTGTTCATCATATATTCTGATAAACAACTGTAGGCTGCATAGAACTGTGTATATTAAGGTTGCAAGTTGATGTTAAGAAATAATAAAAATACAAAACAAATCAGAAAAGTGGTATCTTTTTTATCCGCTACTGTACTTAGTGTTTTTATACTACTTAAAAATATTTTTAAACGTTAATAAGCTTGGTTTATGCGTTTATGAATCCGGACATATTTAATTTTATTATGCGACCATTTGTAGAAATATTCTGCAAGTAAAACTGTGTTTTTGTAAACCGCAAACCATCAAATTTCAAAGTGTCGTTCTAGGAATAATGTAACTCACAGACATGGTGGAAACACGTTTAAATTTACTAATTAACTTGCTGTTAAGGAAACTTTCGCCTTTGTGTAGTTATTACTTTTTCGACCCTTTTTTAAATCATTCTATGTAAACTGTCCTCGTGTTACCTTCAAATTTCGAAGGATCAAACGTAAAAAAATGTCACTGTGTGGAGAAAAATATACTAGCGGCCGTTTTTATTAAGACAGTAGTTCTTTTTTAATATAAAAAGTTTCGTATCAAAATTTTGTTTTTACAGCAGATAATAATTTTATAGAAGGTTATATTCGAGATGGTGGATATTTAAATGAACAGTCCTAGAAACTAATGAAATCGATCGTATTTCTGAAATATTCTTTTCTTCGCACAGAGCAGCATTTATTTCCATTGATTCTCTAAAGATTCAAAGGTGAGAATATTTTTTTAAAATAAATATCTTACTGGATGAGAGATATCGACTTTACCCCATTGAAAAGAGAAATTTTTAATGTTCCGGTCCACGAAGAAATAAATATTTATGAAGAATACTCGGGCTTGTTATTATCATTCACTCTAAAAAAAAAGATAAACACTGTTATTCAAGTGATAAGTTCCACTGTCTACAATGTACAGAAGGCTTTTAAATGCTTCAAGATGACAGGTAAAAAGACGTGACTAAAATTTGAAATTAATCTAAGTGATTCGTTGTTTTCCAAGTGTATACATATTACTTCGAGGAACACCTGGAAATTACTTATTTCGAGAACAACGATTGAATCGGGAGATTGAACTCGGAAAATAAGAGAGTTTGAATATTTTAAAAAGTGGAGAGCACCCTTTATTAGGAAAGAAGAAGTTCCAATGCATACAAAGCAAGCGGAAGTTCGTACGGTTCTCGTTTCCCCGTTTGATCCATTATAGTGAGAAAAACTTGCTGAAATGTTCAAGATCGCGCGCTTCCCCGGAATTCGCTAAGCTACTTCATTGCAAAGAAATCTTTTAGATGTTCTCTACAAAAGAGGGCGACAGTTCTCTGAAACTTTCGGAGAAAAGAACGTAACAAAATGGAAATCTACATAGAATGATCTGTAAATAAATATTAAATCGTGTGATGTCGCTTTTTTTAAACTAAATAACTTCAATCGTTATTATTGTTATACCGAACATTTTTACCTCAACATTCACTCAGAGTTTCCTTTTTAAAGTCTAACTGGTTTACTTGTATAATAATTAATTACGCTATATACTATATTTCAATCACAACTTATTATTTATTCCGTAAATAAGTTATGGTTTACGATGATAAGAAACATCTTTTTCGAACGCACAACATAGATTTAGGGCTTTGTTTGCTTCTCCACAGACTTTGAATGCGTAAAGCAATGCAGTGGGAATTTCTGTATTCATATACGATATTTAATTCGTTTACGTGAATCCACGTGTAATAAGAAATTGAAAATTTAGTATAAAATTTGTTTGTGTAAGCAAAATCGAGTTCCAAAGTTCCCTTGATACGCGTCCACTTAACCATCATTTGACGTGTACATTATTGATTATTCTTATTTATATCAATGTTCATAATTATTGACAATGACTAACTAACTAACCAATAAACGAACGTACATTGACAGCTATGAGACAAGAACATCGACAGGGAAACAGGCAATACTGCACCGCAGTTTGTATTCGTTGCAAGTAGAAACAGTCGGCGAATGGTCAGACATATAATCCAGCCATATTCAATATCACGCATGCATCAATTAATTCATGAAATTAAATTCTCTCCAAATATTTGCTTCATACCAAAGAATTTTCTTCTACATCTTTTAACCAATTTCGTATGAATATTTATTGTCTGTCTGGTTATACTATCAGACTTTTTCTAACTTGTATATCGCTCGATAAACACGCAATTGTTCCAAAGCTGTATACATTTAAAGCGACCGCGTGCAATGCATTCTTATTAGAAATACAGTTCTTTTTTCTTTTGATTCATCAAAAAGTAATGGTAGACGTTACTCTGAATAAATTTGTTTCGTACATGAAGTAACTTATTTCATCTATAACTGTCACCTACGATTTCACTTTTTTTTCTGCAATGTATCAAATAAATACAATAATTGTTCAAAATCATGATGTGTAACCTGATTGTGCAAACTCGTATTCATATAAAACAAATTATTTGCAAACATAAGAATTCTATAGAACTCGACTTACGGCCTGAACGGTGTTTAACGATTATA